ATTTTGAAATAGTATTTTTATGTAGAATGTGCAGCAGTTAAAAAATAAGGAAAAGTTTTGAATTTGTGTATAATATTATTTTATTGAAAAACATTTGATTAAAAATAATAGGTAAATGTATTTAAAAAATAATGAGGATCACAAACAAGGGCTAATTGGTTTTCGTATTTCAATGCTTTAAAATGTGACTAGGTTCTTTGATTTGGAAAACAAAACTAGTCATCTAACTGTGCTGTCACAAACCTTGTTAGGCAGCTGAATCAACATATCCTATGCTGTAGTTGGCATGTTCCTTTCTTGTTGGTGGCAGCTATGTACACAATTGTAACCATCTCAAGAAAACATCATCCCTCTCCATAGCTAAATTTATAAATATTTTGTCTTCTTTAGTTATTAGACCTTTTAAGATTGAATTCCAAGACCCAAACCAAAGCACTGCGTCAGTTGGCACTGACCAAAATGGTGAAAACTGAAAGAGGTTTCGTTTCAGCACGTGAATATATCTAGATATACTTGCTACATTCCTAAAATATGAAGACCAAAAATATTCAACTTGTATCACATTTTTTAGAAACTAGAACACATTTTGCTAATTTTATCAAACTCAGTCACAACTTTTTTGTAATCATTTGCATCTCGGAATTCATTATCATTTTTTCCTTGATTGCCTAATTATTGAGGCAGCAACCCGAAGTCTATTGAAGCACCAACATCGACTGACTGAATGGATATCGATGGAAATAGGGTTCTCGAGTACACACTTAAATCTAAATATAATGCTTGTTACAGGAGGTTTATGATAGAAAAATGGTTGCTTTCAACATGACCCACATTTTGGCTTCACCAGAAAACGCAACATGATCCATAATCTCTGGAAAGGCTGAAAAAAGTACAGTGGATCCAAAAGTTGACTAAAGAAACAAAGAAATGAAATTGCCATAGAGTAATACATCAAGCCACAGATTGCTTTTTTTCTTCTTCAAGCTGCTGCAGTTCAACTAATCTTTGAGCCCATGCTCTTTCCCTTGCAACTGCAGCCATCTTTCGCTCCACCCTCTGCATGTCTTTCTTCCCTTTGGCCTCTTGAAACTGAGCTTTACGCTTCTTTTTTTCAGACTGCACAAGGGTAAAACAAGTCATTATGAATAGCAAAGTATATAATACGTAACAGAATTAATCACCCCAAGGAAATGAGCACAAAAATGTTATAGGATCGTTTAATCCACCCCAAGCCAAAAAGAAACACACTCTAAAGATGGAAAATCGGGAATGATGAGTAGCTGCCTGAAGTTACCGTTACAAGTTAAGAAGGATAAAACAGAATGATGAGAAATCTTCATCTGGGGAAGCATGAAACATTTAACATTTCTTTACTGTTATCTACTAAAAGTGTTGTTGAGAACCAATCTGCACTAGAAACCTTGGCAAGCAACTAGTCAGATTTCAAGCCAACAAAGGCTAAAATCAAACTACTTCCTTCCACAGTTGAGCAACCTTATAACCTTTATAGACACGTCAACAAATATTTACATCTTTCTTAAATGAATTTTTTTATTATTTCCAATTTCAGACTAAGATTTATACACAACTATTACATATCAGATAATCATCCCTTCCCAAGAAAACCCATACACAACAGCAGGACAAGAGACCCATCTGCAATAACATTTTCCAAACCCATTGCCACCAATGCAGCTGCCTCCTCCAAACCCATAACAGTAGAAACACAACCCATTCCCTGCTGCCACCATCTTCAAAACCTAAAACCCATAGCCAATGAACTGTTCCAAAACATTAAGCCCCTATTTGACAATTATTAATTCAAAACTCCTTTTTCTACATGCTCACTTTCAACAACACATTCACATAATAAAATATTTTACACGAAAATACAAAAATTTTCCCTAATTTTTAACCCCATATTCTCCAAAAAAATTAATATTCAAAACTCCATTTTTACCCAAATAGTGGTTGTCAAACAGGGGCTAATGGTGCGTTTTGTTTTGATGATTCAAATTTGTTTTTAATTTTCAGTTTTTGTAAAACACCCAAACCTTTTTTAATCTGTTATTTTTGAAAATGCATTTTCAAAAAAATGTTAATATTATAGCATAAAATTCAAAATATCTTTTTGACGTTCAAGTATTCTCAAAACAAGGGAAAAAAGCTAAAAAACAAAAATTCTAAAAAAAAATAAAAACTTACTGTTTATTGATAATAAAAAATTCTAAAAAAACCTCTAATTTAAAAGAGAGAAAAATTATCAGTTATCTTTTATTTTTTATTTCCTACGTTTTGTCAACTCATTTTATTATATGTTTATATTTTACTTTTGTAGGGGAAAAAATAGTGTAAGATTCATTAACTTTAAAATGCATGTGTTACTTAATAACATATTAGTATAAAATTGTTCTACTTTATTGAATAATCAAATTAATGGAATAAAATGAAGAGGGTGTTTGACACCCATTTTTTGGAGTATAGAATTTTTAGAATAGTGATTGATGGGAGAATGTGTGGTTGAAAAATCATGAAAAGTTTTAGATTTATGTGTAATATTATTTTATTGGAAGAATGTGTGGTTGAAATGAAAAAAAAGAAAAAAATGAGAATGAGACTTAGATTAGAATGGGTGCCAAACATGAGCGAAATAAAACAATATCATAATTTCAAGCCAAATGTGTTCTCCAGTTATGAGAAACAATTTTTCAAAGAATATTCAAATATTAGACTTTCAACCTAGAGATCCAATAAAACTATGAATAACACTGTTGTATGAGGCATATATCAGAAAAAATAACACCACTAAGGCAATTCTTGAGGTTCGAAATTCGATAATTACGGATCTGTTGATAGAATACCTTCTATAATCTGAAGCAAAGTGATTTTCTAAGTAAGAAAGTTTGAACTGTAGTTTCGTTACTAAGTGCTTACGTCTTTTTTTCCCTTTTATTTAGTGTTGAGGAAGCAGTGTCAGCTCTTGTAGTTTAGGGTCCATTTAGCTTGGTTTCAGTTCTCAATTTTTAGTTTTGATTTAATTTTCAGTTATAACTTTTGAGGATCTGCTTTAAGATAGTTGAAAATGCATTTTATTTGTCATTTTCTTTTACGAATATAGTATTGAGAACTAGAAACTCTAATTAATCTATCGATAACAATCAATTAGCAAAAAGAAATAAAAGGCACGCAAGATTTAAATAGGTTCACCTCAATATGAGACTACATTCTCTTCCACCGTTGGAGTCATTCATTGTTATAAAAATGAATTTACAAGAAAAAATTGCATACCTATCTTCTCTAACTTCACTTTCTCTTTTTTTTATGGTAATACAAAATCTTAACGACAACTCCCTATTTATAAGACAAATTAGGGTAAAATCAAAATTTACAATAACACCTGCAATCAACATTTCTTCAACATATAGCAATAGGATAATATAGAAGTTACCCAGGTTCTTCACATAGCAACAATGATCTGCCTAACACCTTATGAAGCCATTACTACCTATAAAACTAGCAAAATTCTTATACCATTGTCTCGAAATTGTTTAAAACCACATAAGCATTTTTAAAGTCTGCACACCATTTTCTCCTTTCCTCGTCATTTGAAACTTTGTGGCTACATGTAAATTCCTTGCTACAAATCACAATGAAGAAAGGTTGTCTTTACATCCAAGTACTTACAACTCTTCATTTACAAATAACCTCAAGTACTACTCTAATTGTGGTTAATTTCACCACAGGAGAGAATCTCAATATAGTCGATGCCTTCTTTCTGTCGAAATCCCTTTATATCCAACCTTAGTTTATATCGCTTGTTGTCATCATGATCTTTTAACCAGTAAGCCTATATATTTTGCAAAGCCTTCTTTCCTTTTGGTAACTCTGCCAACTACCATGTCTAATTGGACAATAACGAGACCATCTCATCCCTCATGGTCAAGTCCTGCTTGATTTATTCATGAATCTACACAGCTTTACTATAACTTTCTAGTTCACCTCTATCAATCAATAGAATATAATGCAAACATGGGTGTTTATCTGTGGAGGTCTACTAGTTTTGCTAGATCTTCTTAATTGAGTTACAGGGTTATTGTTCGCTTGATAATAATATACCGCAAGTGCACGGGTCGCGTTCAAGTAATAAAGTGGACTTTTTGAGTCCAGGTTGTCGATCCCTCGAGGAATGTTACTTTATATTACACAATTTTAATCAATTTAATTCTAACAATCCAATGAAACACATAATTAAACATGAGATTTGTAAAGGGGTAAATAAACTAAAAATCTACAAAATAAGAAAAACACAAATACTTGGAAATTTCGGAAAAAGAACGTGGTTCGGATTCATGGTTTCATTTAACCATCGCCTAATTAATCTCTATAAACCAATTAACGAATTACATAATTTCGATGTTAGACCCGATCTTCCAATTAAATATTTGTGAAAATAGCTCATTGGATCACCTAGGGCTAATGGTATATCTCTATCCACTATTTGGTCTAAAATGTACAATCTTCTCTCGAACGATTTTCAAATAACTAAACATAATCATCTATTGGCCACATAAATGAAAATGCATGAAATACAATAGTAGAAACACATGAAAATAAGCAATTTAAAATCAAAGGGTTTCAAATACTTCTTCACCACTTTGATGTATTTTTCTTTTTATGCTCTTAATTGCTCCAAAATATCAAGTAAAACAAAAGGGAAAGGAAGAGAAAATGAAAGAAGAAAGAAAGAAGAGAAAAGAAAAGAAAAGAAAATGGAAGAAAAAGCAAGAGAGAAAAACTCTCAAAAACTCTATCTAAAGACTCTCTACAAACTCTCTACGGTTTGAGTCATGAGATTTAGTCTTTAAATACTCCCAAAATCGAGCACGAACAAAAGCCCAAAACGCCCTCAAAATTTCTGATTTTCGGAAATTTTTAAGTCACAGGTGCGTGGATGGACACTAAAAGTGCGCAGGTGCGCACCACTCCATAAGTAAAGTGCGCGGATGCGCACTCTTGGTGAAATCACAAATTGCACGGGAGGTCCTCGGAATAATTTGCGTAGTTAGTCCCTCAACTTTGATGTTGTACATTTTAGTCCTCATATTTTGATTTTTATATCAATTTTGCACTCCATAAATTGCATCCCAATGTCCATTTAATGTCCTCCAACTTTCGACAATTGTGCAACTTGGTCCCCAACTTCACAATCTTGTACACTTTTAGTCTATTTTTCTCCTTTTGTCTTGTTCTCTTTCCTTTTGGTGATTTCTACCTACAAACGCAATAATTACATAATTGTAAGTAGAAATCTGCTCATTTTTATCAATCATAAGTATACTTAAGTATTAAATAAGTGCGCAAAAACACACTTATCAAGTACTCTAATGTGCTTCTAGGGCTATATTTTCCCGACTCTACCGTCGACATTCTAGAACTCAATACTCGAAGATCTTTCATTGAAATCACCTCAGGCTTCTTAACTTTAGGACTTGCACATGTAAGGTCTGTTCCTAACCCTTATACAAGACATTTTATTGAAGATTACATCCTTGCTCCTGATAATTTTTCAAGTTTGATTATCCCAGAACAATCACAAAACTCGTTATAACCAATAATGAAACACTTTTATTTTGCATCAAGCTTGCTTCTTGCAATAAAATCAATGTGAATATACGAAACACGACCAAACATTTTCAAGTGTGAAAAGTTTACCTCTTTACCACTCCAAACTTCCTCTGTATTCTGCAGTCCAATGGTGTTGAAGAACATCTGTTGATCACTTAAACTACACTGCTAATAGCTTCAGCACAAAACATCTTTAGTAACCTAGCAAGTAATATCATGCTTCTAGCACACTCGCTTAAAGTCATTCATCCTCTCAACCACACAATTTTCTTAAGGTATTCTTAGAATAGTCTTCGTCATCTTAGTTCCATTATCGGCACAATATTTCTTAAAATCATCTACATATTCTTCCCCATTATTGGACTGCAAACACATCACCTTCAAATTTGTATCATTTTCAACCACCGCCTTCAATATCTTGTTGGCATCAAAAACATCAAATTTATTCTTCATGAAATTTCCACAATCCTTCATGCTTAATAATTGGAACCTCCAAGGGAAATAACAGTAGATGGTCCCCATGAATCAACTCCAATTTGTAGCTTTTGGCTTCCTTCCGATTTCAGAGAAACTAAGGGCCCATTTGGTTTGTATTTCGATTTTTAGTTTTGAGATCAATTTAGTTTTCATGGTTTATTATAAAATTATTAAGCCCCTATTTAGGCTCCAATAAAATTTTAATTCATTTTTCTTTCTACTTTTCAATCATACTTTCTTTATCTTTAATAAAATAATATTACAAATAAACCCAAAAATTTTCCTTCTTTTAACCACACATTCTCCAAAAATAATCACTATATCAAAATACTTTTTCTATAAAACCTCATTAAAATGGAGCCCAAACATGGGCTAAAACGAGTTTGGTTTGTCATTCTGAAAAAAAAAATTCTTAAAATAGAAAACTAGAAAATATTTTTGATTTGAAATTTTGAGAAAAAATGTTCCATGACATTTTATTACATATAATTGATTATTCAGTAAAATAGAATAGTTTTGTATTAACATATTACCAAGTAATACATACATTTTAAAGTAGATAAATCTTATAATTTTTTTTCACTACAAAAGTAAAATGAAAAAAACTAATAAATTTAGTAGGCAAAACATAGGACAAAAAATAAAAATTAATAACTTAGAATGAGAATTTTTACCTTTGTTCATGTAAATATATGCTTTAGATTTATTTATGTAAATAACCAATAAAAGCTTGAAATATTTTTTTATTTTTTATAATTTTTTGTTTTTTATTATTATTATTTTTTTTTAGAATTTTATTTTATTAGATTTTACTTTTCAAATTTTTTATTATTTAGAATTTTATCAAATTTTTAGTTTTTTGAATTTTAAATTTTAATTTTTTAGAATATTATTTTTTTAGAATTTCATATTTTTGTATTTTATAATTTTTAGTTTTTAAAATTTTATCTAAATAAGATTTTATTTAAACGTTTATTTCCCAAATTTTCAGAGTTTTTGGAAATGTCAGACCAAACGAATTTTGGACGTTTTCCAAAATTGAAAATTGAAAATAGTTTGAAAACAACAAACCATACGCATCCTAACCTTTTCTGCTTGCTGAAAATACAACCTTCATACAAACTATGTTCACATTTCAACCTATAGTGCCACAAATCAGAAATACAACCTTCATACAAACTATGTTTTAACACATTTCAACCTATAGTGCCACAAATCAGAATTAACAATTGAATGCAACTGCAACCATGTCTCTACAATTCGAGGTGAAGTAAAGAGTTCCAAATTTACTTCCTCGAGCAAAGACCATGGCTTCCTTAATGACTTTCTAAGCACTAGTACAACCTTCATCATCAAGATGTACAACTGAAGTCAAATTACGAGTTAATTTAAGTACATGCTTCACCTTATGAACTTTCATTGCACACTTGTTTGATATCCTTAAACTGACATTGCCAATACCAACAATATCCATAAGTTCTCAATCGAGAAGATATACCTTTCCATACGTCCCAGTCACATAGTTCTCCATAATCACACGATGTGCAGTAGTGTAAAGAGAAGCTCCTAAATCCATCACCCAAGAATCAACAGGACTATCTGCAGAAAAAGAGTATAGCATTTTATACCTCTTTAGTCAACGCATCATCACTGTCGTTAATCTTATCTTCCTTCTTTGGTGCTTTGCAATTCTTCTTCATGTGGCCAGTCTTGCCACAGTTCCAGCATTCTATATTCTTTCCAGAGTTAGACTTGCTTTTACCATTTATCCACTTCAGTACTTCCTACCGTTGCCTTTATTGAAATTTTTCTCGAAACCCCTCTTTGTTCTCGACATTTAGGGCAGAATTTGATATTGAGACTTCACCTGTCTCTTCTACGGACTTCCTCAGCAAGAATAGCATCATGAACATCATTGAATTGCAATTTTGCATTGCCTATAGATTTGCTAAATGCAGCTCTTATAGGCTTCCAATTATTCAGTAGTGATGCCAACAAAATTAAAGCACATACCTTATCATCTAAATTAACCTCAACTGAGACCAACTAATTGATAATTGCATTCAATTTATTGAGATGTTCTACTACTAGAGCATCTTCAGCTATCTTCAATTTACTTAAATTTTTTTTTTAATAGAAGTACCTTATTACCCATAGAAGGCTTCCCATATATATCAGACAATGCCTTGATCAAATCTGTCATGATTTTCTTTGCCGCTACATTGTGACTAACATTTTTCGATAGTTTTAACCAAATAACACCCACAGCACTTGACGATCAAGGAGTTTCCACTCGTCGTCCTTCATTCCTTCCGACTTCACATGCAGAAGGTGCTTGTGCAATATTTTACTGCATAGATAATCTTCAATTTGCATCCTCCAAAATGCAAAATCCATACTATCAAACTTACAAATCCCTAGTGATGTTCTTTCTTTATCAGTAATTGCTCTCAATCAAAACCAAAAGCTCCGATACCAATTATTGCAAATTAGAAACACTTTAAGATAAGGTGGCTCTCATTAGTCTTCAACAGAAATAAATAAAGACGGAAGAGTTATAGAGGTTTGCCTTAATGTGAGACTGTGTCCTCTTCGGCGACAACAATAATTTATTATGATGAAAAGTTTGCGACATAAAATTGCACACCTATCTTTTCTAACATCTCTCTCTCTCTTTTTATGGTAATACAAAAGCTTAAGGACAACTTTCTATTTACAAAACAAATTAGGGCAAAATCGAAATTTACAAAGACGCAAATTCAAAAACCATAACTGACATACACATTCTTAAATTATCCTCAATGAAATTTTGATCCGAGCAAACCCCATGGCCACCTCATCACGAAAGTTGACCCGCAAACTGGCTCCGCACAATAACAGTAATTAGGTTCAACAACTTAACATAAAAATGTCAATGGCTTGTAACTAGTGATATTGCTAGCTTGGGCATAAGGAAATGGGATAGAAAAAATAAACAGATATAGCACCACTTTGGTTTAGCTAAAAATTAGATTTTTAGTAGATTTTGATAAAAGTTGAAAAAATTTGTAGTTAAAATGTCAATAAAACTTGTAGATCCCATGAAATGTGTGGTTGAAAATAAGTTTGAAAAGAAATGTGAGTGTTTGAAATTGGGGGTCAAATAGGGGCTTAATTGCTAATTTCAAAGGTAAATTGGGAAAATTTAACACACTGGTGCCAATTCAAAAAAGGCCGTTCAAACGCGAAAGAGAGCCTTCGAGAACAGCGACCAGAGAAAATTTTACACACTGGTGCCAATTCAAAAAAGGACGTTCAAAAGCGAAAGAGAGCCATCGAGAACAGCGACCAGGTCCATTTGTGGGTTTATTAGTTTTCAAATTTTGTCACTATCTCATTTCTACGAAACAATTATCCAATAACTGGACTGTTTTTTCTTTTTTTTCTTTTGTAGGGGACAAATGAGTAACTTACCAGTATATAATTTAATGCTATTCTTGTTATATCCTCACTCAAACCTCTCGTTGGCATAATCTTACAATATGTTCCTCAATGCAACATGTAAAGAGAAGTTTCAGCATACTTTGAGCTTTCTTCATCAGTACAGACTACACAGGGTATATTAAGATTTCAACACTCTCCACAAGTATCCTTGAATATAGTTCATATAAAGAAAAAATGTCTTCCCAGTGGAATGCAAAAATGAATCACGTCCTTTCTTAATTGCCACATATCCATTCTAAAATTTTCATAGAACCAGCTCTAGACAACTTGACAGGCAATAACTCGATGGTGTCTCTCATAATATGCAAAATGAGATTTTTTCTTTCAGATATCACTTTCTATTTATATTTGCAGGACCTTTCTCAAATTCGTTAGGTCAATGACAATGCTTCAAGATCTCACTTCATTACCTTTTCGAAGCACACGCTCGGTGTCTTCTCTTTATATTTTGTCTTTATAATCTGTATGCGGTGACATATTCTAATTCGCTATTCTGCTCATCTTAAAGATATTCTAAGATTTTAAAGGCAGGAAGTCCATTCCAGTATCCGGTTCTAATCTGCAAGACTGCAATATTATTTTCCCATACCGAAGGATGTCATCGGCAAAGCAGAAAGTTCATCAAAAAAAAACCACCACTAACATATCAACTAATGAAACACACAAATCCAACTTCAAACATTTGCATTTCATCCACCACAAGTCGCATTTAACTCGTAGTCAAGTCGCATTATAACTCATAGTTATTGAACTATCTGCTAAAAATTTGGCAATATCTCATTTTTTAACATCAACGTGAAAACAACAGAAAAAATAAAGAATCAATTCTTAGATATAACAGTAAAAGTGAGGCGAAGATAAAACTAGAAATGCATATACCAATATAAATGTGCGATGTTGTTTGATTCGCTTCTTCTCATTCCTTCGCTTGACACTTCCCTCATTAGGTTGGTTGGGAAGTATCGGTTGACCCGGAACATATTTCACCCAGGCATATGGCCCTAAATTTTTCCACATCAACAATATCAGTTGCATTTTACTTTCATTCCTCTTGCCAATAACAGTTCTAATTTGTCTATGTCAAAGAAAGTACATCAGAGATAATATATGTTGATTAATTTTTTAACCTTATAAACCCTAAATATTGAAAAGAACATTATAAAATGAGACGGGTGACCTGGGGGTCTTAAGCTGGCTCTTTTCCGTCGAGGCTTGTCACTGGGGCGGCGTTTCGGATAGCGGGTTTCAGTCAGGCTGTGGAAGGCGGAAGGCGGTGGAATCCAAGGAAGATTGCGGCGGAATGAACCGACGAGGTGGCGGAGCTGCTGTGGTGGAGACGGAGAGATCGCAGCAGGGAAGAAATGAGATGCGGGTCGAGTCGACAGGAGGGTTCGCGATACGGGCCGAATTATGGATCTCAAGGCTCCGAAACCCATAGCGTTTCACCAAGTATGTGAACTGTGTAGTGAAAATAACCTTGGCTCACAAAT